CATAGGAGAATCACTTGAACCCGGGAGGCGGAGGTTGCAGTGAGCCAAGATCTCGCCATTATACTCCAGCCTGGGCAACAAGAGCAAAACTGTCTTAAAAAAAAAAAAAAGACCGGGCACAGTGGCTCACACCTGTAATCCTAGCACTTTGGGAGGCCGAGGCAGGCAGATCATGAGGTCAGGAGTTCAAGAACAGCCTGGCCAATATGGTGAGACCCCGCCTCTACTAATAATACAAAAATTAGCCAGGCGTGGTGGTGAGCACCTGTAGTCCCAGCTACCTGGGAGGCTGGGGCAGAAGAATTGCTTGAACCCAGTAGGCGGAGGTTGCGGTGAGCTGAGATCACACCATGGCGCTCCAGCCTGGGTAACAGACTAAGACTCTGTTTCAAAAAAAGAGAAAGAATACTCATTCAAGTGAATGTTTGAGACTTACTTAAAATAGCCAAATGAATTTATAGTTTTCCTCCCCTTCTTAGGGATTACATCTAATGGTATCATCTAAAAACTTTATAAATCTGGCATTGCATTCTTCTAGGTGTGCTATACAGATGATTTGATCTGTGTGGCCACTGCCTTTTAGGAATAACACCTTTGAAAGCATAGAAAAAGGAACTAGCATTGGACAAATTTATGAAATGGAGCTATTTAATTTAAAAAGATTAATAGTGGAGTTGAATTGTTTGGCTTTAAAGACCGCACTACACATTAGTTTATATATATCAAGTGTGTGTGTGTATATATATACACACACACATATATATGTATCGAGTGTGTGTGTGTGTGTATATATATATAATTTTTTTAAGTGCCAGAGCCTCACTCTGTCACCTAGGCTGGAATGCAGTGGTGTGATCACAGCCCCCTGCAGTCTTGACCTCCCCAGGCTCAGGTGATCCTCCCACCTCAGCCTCTTAGTAGCTGGGACTACAGGCATGCACCACCAAGCCTGGTTCATTTTTATATTTTTTTTGTAGAGACAAGGTTTCACCGTGTTGCTCAGGCTAGTCTCAAACTCTTGGGCTCAAGTGATCTGCCCACTTCAGCCTCCAAAAGTGCTGGGGTTAGAAGAGTGAGCCACTGCACCAGGCCAAACATTAGTTTGTAATTCAAAAATATAATGAAATAAATCAGTGATTATTTAGATTAAGTACAGGTCAATCAGTTACCTAGAAGTATGTTTTCTAGTTAATTAAAAGTACAGAGATTCAATTGAGGCATTTTTGTGAAAATAGCAGTAATTGCAGTAGTATCAGCAAGTACTTTTTTTGGCCAGGTGTGGTGGCTCACACCTGTAATCCCAACACTTTAGGAGGCCAAGGCGGGTGGATCATCTGAGGTCGGGAGTTCGAGACCAGCCTGACCAACATGGTGAAACCCTCTCTCTAGTAAAAATACAAAATTAGCTGGGTATGGTGGCGCATGCCTGTAATCCCACCAGTTGGGAGGCTGAGGCGGGAGGCTGAGGCGGGAGGCTGAGGCAGGAGACTCGCTTGAACCTGGGAGGCGGAGGTTGCAATGCTGAGATTGCACCATTGTGCTCCAGCCTGGGCAACAAGAGCAAAACTTGGTCTCAAAAAACAAAATACCAAGTACTTTTTTTGTTTTGTTTTTTACAGACAGGGTCTCACTCTTGCTCAGACTGGAGTGCAGTGGTGCAGTCATAGCTCAATGCAGCCCTGAATTCTTGGGCTCAAGCAGTCTTCCTGCTCAGCCTCCTGAGTAGCTAGGACTACAGGTGCATGCCACCACGCCCGGCTAATATTTCATTTTTTGTCGAGACAGGGTTTTGCTGTATTGCCCAGGCTGGCCTCGAACTCCTGGGCTCAAGTAATCCTCCTGCCTCGGCCTCCCAAAATGCTGAGATTACAGGCATGAGCCACCACACCCATACCCAAAGTATTGTATTATTAGAACTTTGACCACAGTTTGGTAATTTCTTTGTTAATAGTCTCATGTAAGATTTTCGTTTCAGAAGCATGTCTGACTGAAATGATTTTTTCATCAGATTAGTATACTGCTACAAGCAATATTTTTTGAAAAACTGTGTTCAAAGAATGACTATTGCTTTTGATCTGATAAATAATAAAGAACGATATCAAATGTTTGAAGAGGGAAAGGCAATTAAATCTTGTTTTCAGAAGATTATTTTAGCAAATATGTAGGATTAATTAAAATAGAAATAGAACTAGAAGGGGCTTAAAAAAGGAAAAAGAAATTGAGAGTTATTGTTTAATGGGTACAGAGTTTCAGTTTGGGAAGACCAAACAGTTCTAGAAATGGATAGTGGTAATGGTTGTACAATAGTGTGAATGTACTTAATACCACAGAATGGTACACTTAAAAATGGTTAAAATGGTAAGTTTTATGTTATGTATATTCTACCACAATAAAAGGAAAAAAAAGGAATAAGAATACAGTTGCTTTAAAATACCCCGTAATCTTGGATATGGAAATGGGGAGAGGCAAATCTGGGAGAAGATGCAGAGAAGAAATCTGTACTTGTGGTTATCTATTAAAAGAATGGGATTCAGGCCAGGTGCGGTGGCTCATGCCTATAAACCCAGCACTTTGGGAGACTGAGGGGGCGTGGATCACGAGGTCAGGAGTTCAAGACCAGCCTGGCCAACATGGTGGAACCGTGCTCTACTAAAAATAGAAAAATTAGCCAGGTGCAGTGGTGCGCACCTGTAATCCCAGCTAGTTGGGAGGCTGAGGCAGGAGAATCGCTTGAACCTGGGAGGCAGAGGTTGCAATGAGCCGAGATTGCGCCACTGCACTCCAGCCTGGGCGACAGAGCAAGACTCCATGTCAAAAAATAAAAAAGAATGAGATTCAAAGGAATTGAGAAATATTCAGAGGTTGGCTGGGCACGGTGGCTCAGGCCTGTAATCCTAGCACTTTGGGAGGCCAAGGCGGGTGGATCACCTGAGGTCAGGAGTTTGAGAGCAGCCTGACCAACATGGTGAAACCCCATCTGTACTAAAAATACAAAAAATCAGCCGGGCTTGGTTGTGGGCGCCTGTAATCCCAGCTACTCGGGAGGCTGAAGCAAGAGAATTGCTTGAACCGGGGAGGCAGAGGTTGCAGTGAGCAGAGATCGCGCCACTGCACTCCAGCCTGGGTGACAAGGCGAGACTCTGTCTCAAAAAAAAAAAGTGAGGGTGAGGGTGACAACCAGAAACTTAGAAATATTGATATACATTAGAAAGATGAGTTAATCATGGATACTTTTTGATGGAGTATTGACAGATAACTAAATTTTTAAAGACAATTAAAAATAAGATGGAAATTTAAGATTAAAATGGTTATTTGGGAGTTGTCTACATAGAGATGGTAACTGAGAACTTATGAGTCGATGCACTCCTTTAACTGGACACATAGAAAGAAAAATAGGTGAATAATGACTGAATATTGGGGTACTACCCCCATGAAGTAGGTTAATTAAGAAGACAAGGCCGGGCGCGGTGGCTCAAGCCTGTAATCCCAGCACTTTGGGAGGCCGAGGCGGGCGGATCACAAGGTCAGGAGATCGAGACCATCCTGCGACCCCATCTCTACTACTAAAAATACAAAAAACTAGCCGGGCGAGGTGGCGGGCGCCTGTAGTCCCAGCTACTTGGGAGGCTGAGGCAGGAGAATGGCGTGAACCCGGGAGGTGGAGCTTGCAGTGAGCTGAGATCCGGCCACTGCACTCCAGCCTGGGTGACAGAGTGAGACTCCGTCTCAAAAAAAAAAAAAAAGAAGACAAATGATCAGAAAAATAGTGAGAAAACTGAAAAATCCTAATGCCTTGTAAGTCAGTATTCGAAAACTTTAAGAACTAAGATTTCAGTGTGAGGAAGCTGATTAAAAAATAAAAATAAAAAACCTCCCAAGATTGATGGCAATAGATGTAATTGAAAGGTCAAGAGGAAACAGAACTGAGGAATGATTTTTGAATTTGAATAGGAGTAGGTCATTGGTATTCTTAGAAGAGTTTCTGTGGAATATAGAAGACAGACATCATGTTACAGAGTGTATATAGGAGGGGAAAGTATTTTAAAAGCACAGTCAAGGGATATAGGGCACTCTTGAAAATTTTAACAATTAAATGAGGTGGAAGTAAAAAAAAGGATCATATAAATATATTAATAAACCTAGAGAATAGTGTATAATAGTTATAAAATTCTTATAAAACATTTTTTAAACTTTTATGATATACCTCAAAATGCAGTATGTGCTGTATTATTAAATGGAAACACTATGTAATGAAGGTTACTTCTCTATAAAATGTTAGTAAAATAAATGAATTATCGGTATTACAGAGGAAGAGTGAAATGCTACAAAGTTTAAACGGAAGAGGGAGAAGGAAGAAAAAAGGGAGAGATAGAAAAAGGAAGAAAGAATAAGTGTAATTTGAGAAGGGAGCTAAAAAAGGGTCTCTAACTGATAGAGACATAGTTAACAAGTGGCAAATGGGATGAGAAGCAGGGAATGGTATCTGATAGTGCTAGATATTACCATAAGATATTTTGGGCAGTTCTAAAGAAAATGAGATTATAAACTTTCCTTGAGCAATCCAGTGATAGTAAGGAAATCCAGTAAGGTTTTAAGGAAATCCAGTAAGGTTAATATCTTTCATGATGATGGTTTTTGTCATTAACATTCACCTTTGTATCTCTAATACCTAACACTAAGTTAGTGGTATACAAGTTTCTATTGAACAATTAGATTTTGAACTGTGAAGATTTAGTGGAAATTTATTTGGTAATTATTAACCATTGCATTCATAAAAGATTGTGCTTCAATTTCCTTTAGCAAGTTTAAAAATTTTAATTTGGACCTAATTTTTTAAAAGAGTAAAATTGTGAATTTTTAGTTATTCTACTAAACCAGCATTTGAAAAAGAAAATAATAACACTTGGAAGGTATGTGTTTGTGTTGTGTGTGTGTCTCAGAGACAGATCAGATACATTAGTAAATATCTTGCAGTTCACAGATGGTATAGGGTGAGGTTTTATCACATGGGGTTTCAAGGAAGAAAGTTTTATACTAACTGGCATGATTATTAAATCCTTTAATTTTATCTCTCAAGTTCAATGTTGATGTTATTGATCAACACTAAGTATCTGCTTAAATGTTTACAGTATGTGAAAATCACTTGTATTTATACATAGGCAGTGTTAACAACAATAAACTTGGGCAATGCTGCATAGATAATATAATTAATCTTTGTAAATCTTTTTTAATACTGGTGGAGGGCAAGTATTTATGGGTTGTTTTGAGTATTCAGATAGAAACATAAAAACTTAAATGAAACATAAACTTATTTGTAATGTGGTTTCCATCTGGGTCATTATAACTTTGTGTTATCTCCATGTGAGTGATATAAGGAAGGCCGCAGATCTGCATTGCCATTTTGCTTACAGGAAGTCTAAAACAGGATAGATAAATGACTTTTCCAAGGTCAAGATGAAGCCAAGATTAGAACCTAAATGCCTTATCCTCCTGTGTCTTGATGTTCTTCCTTCTAATTTATCTTGTCATTTTAATAGGGTGGGAGGATGGGTAAAGACACAGGAACAGTCTCTCATTCTGTGTTCTTTTCCATGATTTCTACTAGATCATTGGTTTTCTCAGTGTTGGTCCCAGGAGTCTTCTATGTGGTTCAATATATTATATACATAAGCTTAATTTTCTTATATTTTGTAAAAATCAGAAGCCTAACATCACAGTTGATTGTGTTTATTGGCAATGAACAGGGTTATTAAATAGTGATAAAATAGTTAATAATATTTAAGTACATGATCTAAATACTACCTGTTAGTTAAAAGGAATTTTTAGGGCTGGTCACAGTGGCTCACACCTGTAATCTCAGCACATTGGGAGGCTGAGGTGGGAAAATCATTTGAGAGCAGAAGTATGAGACCAGTCTAGGCAACATGGCAAGACCTTATCTCTAAAAAATATTTTTAAAAATTTGCTGGGCATGGTGGCACACTCCTGTAGTCTTAGCTACTAGGGAGGCCACTTGAGTACAATAGTTCAAGTTACAGTGAGCTGTGATCATGCCACTATACTCCATCCTGGGCAACAAAGTGAGACCGTTTATTTAAAAAAAATTTTTTTTAAGTATATTGACTTTTCTTTCAAATGACCATTATCATAAATATTTTTGTAACATCTGATACAGTCTGGCTGGACTATAATAGAACCAACGATGTAATGAGACATAGTGACTGTTCAACCCACCCACTTATATTTGGTTCTGTAGGCATATTTGTTATACTGGGTCCTGGACTTTTTCCTCATCTTTACCCGCCTCCATGGGATCAGTGTTCAGGCATGTTTTCAAGTATTAAGTATGCCTTATAAACATAATAGTCTTTTTTCCCTGAATTTAGTAATACCAGAAACCATTTAAAAATACCTGTCCATCATTGAAACTACCATTTGATTTATCAACAAATATTTGAGACTATTCTAAGCAAAGCATTTATTAATAATGCATTAGACTGGGCGTGGAGGCTCACACCTGTAATCCCAGCACTTTAGGAGGCTGGAATACCTGAGGTCAGGAGTTCAAGACCAGCCTGGCCAACATGGTGAAACCCTATCTCTACTAAAATATGGAAATTATCCAGGCATGGTGGTGTGCACCTGTAATCCCAGCTACTCGGGAGGCTAAGGCAAGAGAATCAGTTGAACCGAGGAGGCAGAGGTTGCAGTGAGCCGAGATCATGCCACTGCACTCCATCCTGGGCAACAGAGTGAGACTCTATCTAAAAAAAAAAAATCATTAAACCTACAACAACGTCTCTTTAGGATTTCCAAATGTGCCTGAAGGGGTTCGAAAAATAAAAAGATTGTGACACAATTTTTTTGCTTACTTGGTATCAGAAATACCCCTGTTATTCTATCATTTATGATAATTGGAAATTTTATTCTGTCATTCTTTTCTACAAATCCACAGGGGAATCCATACCAGAGTACCAGATGGCTTTTCAGACAGAGGTTGGAAACCATCCCACTTTCGAGGATATGCAGGTTCTTGTGTCTAGGGAAAAACAGAGACCCAAGTTCCCAGAAGCCTGGAAAGAAAATAGTCTGGTAAGAAAAAACTAAGTTATTAAAGAGAGGACTTATGACTAAATATGTTTTAATGTTGTTTAAAGCAGAAATAGACTGTTAATAATGTTATAATGTTAATAGTTTTTGGAGTTGCCTAATGCCAGAAATCCAATTTGATTTTTATGATGTTATACGTTTTCAAATTTTTCAATATGAAGAAAAGTCAGTTTTTAGTTCCATTTTGTTTTTTTCCAAGCATAAAGTACTATCTAGAGAGAATAACTAATGTGTCTTAAGTTTGCCAGATTAGGTAGCAGCTGGATTAATTAACATATTAATATTTTAAACATTATTGAAATTCTATCTTACTCTCTTGAGAATAGTACCAAAACTGTTAAGTAGTGCAGGCTTACATAATCAATGGCTAATGAAAATTTAGGCTAGACCTGAAAAAAACCAAGGTGCAACCTATGAATTATGCTTATTAAAAATATAATTCGGCCGGGTGCGGTGGCTCACACCCGTAATCCCAGCACTTTGGGAGGCTAAGGCGGGCAGGTCGCCTGAGCTCAAGAGTTCGCAACCAGCCTGGGCAACACAGTGAAACCCCGTCTCTACTAAAATACAAAAAATTAGCCAGGCATGGTGGCATGCGCCTGTAGTCCCAGCTAGTTGGGAGGCTGAGGCAGGAGAATTGCTTGAACTTGGGATGCAGAGGTTGCAGTAAGCTGAGATCGTGCCACTGCACTCCAGCCTGGGCGACAGAGTGAGACTCTTGTCTCAAAAAAAAAAAATACATATATATATATATACACACACACCCACACACATATATATATATACTTCACGACAATGAAATATCTTCAGAATCCCCTGCCATTTGCATAAGTTGTTATTACAACACTGAAAACATCTTACAAATTAACAAATACACACTCGTAATCTTTTAGTATAAATAGGATAATCTAATTATCCACTATCATTTCTGAAGTTCTTTTTTTATTTAAACACATTTTTTTAATGTCAGTACCTCTAGATGTATCTGTTTCTCTCCATTTGGTCAGTATTCTATTGATAAAATCATATAACCATTCTTTTGGATGATATATGATAATTATTATATTAAAAAGGAAAATCCTACCTCTCCCTACTATCACGCTCCATAAGTAACTCCCTTTAGCAATCTTTTGGGTTTTCTTTTTTCTTCCAAAAGTTACCATTATAACTTCAAATTCTCTATTCTTAAGTTATCTCTCGTTTACTTTCTCCCAGTTTGTAATATTCTATTATTAAATGATTTATGTTTTGTCTGTAAATTCATCTAATATTTAAATAAAATAACATGAGAAATTTGTAGTATTATGATTATGTAAGCATTCACTACACAAGAAAGGATTGTGCTTGGATTTATAGTAAATAAAAATTCTACATTAGTTACTAAAATCTCCCCTGTGCTTTGGGGAGAATGTTTCAAGTTATCATCCATCACTTGAGCCCAGGGTTTGAGGCTGCAGTGAGCTATGATCACGCCACTGCCCTCCAGCCTGAGTAAGACCCTGTCTCTTTAAAAAAAATGTCATCAAGTCCCAGCTGCTCAGGGGGCTGAGGCAGGAGAATTGCTTGAACCCAGGAGGTGGAGGTTGCAGCGAGCCGAGATCGTGCCACTGTACTCCAGCCTGGGTGACAGAGCGAGACCCCATCTCAAAAAAAAAAAAAGTCATCATCAAATGATTTCTTTTTGGTTTCTTGTCATCTTTCTGTGTCTTGTTTTTAGGCTGTACTCAGAAACAGCATTAAAAATCTCATGTCATTCTCTTTCTTGTAAACGATTTTTTTTTAAATGAAGTTCCTCCTTAAGTAATGTGTACTATTATGTGTATAGTGGTAAACATCATGAATCCTTGCATGTTTAAAAATGTTTTTATCTTGCCCTCACACTCGAGTAATAATTTGGCTGGATAATAGTTTCAGTGTCATAATTTTCTTCACAACTTTGAAACTACTACTCCATCATTCTCTAGCCTATATTCTCTATGTGCTCTAGGCCCTACTCTCCAGTCTAATGAGAATTTCAATGCCAGCCTGAATCATTTCATTGCTTTTTGTTTTGTTATATTTTTGTTTTATCCTCTTAATTTTTTTTTCTCTATAAGTTTTTAAGACTTTACCACTAGAATTATGTAATTTCACCTTGATGTTTGTGGGCATGGATCTTTACACACATTTTGCTTGGCACTGGATAGGTTTTCAGTTTGAAAATTCAAAAGTTTCTTAAATTCAGAGGAATTTTCTTTTCCTTTTTTTTTTTTTTTTTTTTTTTGAGACAGGATCTTGCTCTGTCATTCTGGCTGGAATATAGTGGTGTGATCATGGTTGACTGCAGCTTTGAACTCCTCGGCTTAAGCTAGTCTCCTTCTTTAGCCTCCTGAATAGCTGAGACTTCAGGTGCATACCACTTTGCCTGGCTTTTTAAATTTTTGGTAGAGACAGGGTCTCGCCTTTTTCCCAGGCTGGTCTCAAACTCCTGAATTCAAGCAATCCTCCTACCTCAGCTTCTCAAAGTACTGAGATCATAAACATGAGCCATCATGCCTGGCCTGGTATTATTTTTTAAATTATTTCGTACCTTTCAATTCTTCCTTCTGAAATTCCCACTAGACAAATATTGTACCACATGGCATTCTAGGAATCATTTTTTTTTTCCTTGTATTTTCCATTTTTTCTCCCTGTATGTTTTGCTTCCTCCCTTCCCTC